ATAGTACTGCCAAAACGAGTGTCAGGCCGATAGCTCACCAGGCGTTGTCTCTGGGGTTGGTCCCCTCCAACCCGAACCATTCTGTGGTTCTATAACTGCAAATAAGCAGTTTCAGTGACAGTTAACGTAGCCCCTTTTTTCCATGAGTAAATGCGTTTATGTGAGAAGCGTTGCCAGAATACACTAACGCAAGGTAGAACGTGAACTGTCATGGAAAAGATTCCATTTTAGCTTTCTTGTTGCTTTGCGCTCAGTAAGTTTAACTTCTCATGTCTGGATTTATCATCGCACTATAATGTTGCTGTATACCCTTGGTAGCAGCGCAGCAACAGCAATGTAGAGCAGCTTTTTTTTTAACAAGCAAGTGTTGGTGAGCAGTTTGTTTCATATGCAAATAGATATTTACAAATAACGTTGTACCATTTTAGAACTAAATCTAGTGCTTTTCATGATTTCACTGAACTTTATGAAATTATTTAACATTTAGCTGATAATGCATTGTGACTGCAGAAGCATAAAATTAATTTAGTTCTTCAGGTATGACAGCATCGTTTCAGATTTCTTTCTGTTGTTGCTTGCAGACTGGAGCTAGCAAAGGCTATGGATTTATAGAGTTTGAGTCCGATGATGTGGCTAAGATTGTGGCAGACACAATGAACAACTACCTCTTTTCTGAAAGACTGCTAAAGTGTAGGTATCAGCTGAAGTCTAAGTCCTCTAATGTGCAAAGGAAATTCATAGTTATTTTTTGTTTTTTTTTTTTTTTTACTGTTTGGAGAATCTGGGTTATTTTAAATGATGTTCTGTCCAAAAAGGATTTTCTGTGGGGCTGGGCTTTTCTTACTTTTTCTTTTTTCACGTGTAAAGATCATCCCCAGCACCCTTTTGTTCACTACTGCTTTTTTCCTTTAGGCTGATAATGCTTGTTGTGTAATCATGTGACATGAAATCTCGGAGAGCAGTGGGGTTTGCTGTGGAGACAGTTCCTGTAATGTGGAAATTCTTTGTCATTTATAACTGCTGCAGCTGCTATCTGTCTAGTTAGGCACAAGGGGCTTTTTTGATTAAAAGGTTAATTAAATTAGCAAGTTTCTCGGATGTGGTGATAGTAACACTTGCTTTGTAAAGGATTATGAGCTATATATGCATTAACTTTTGAAAAGCAAGTTTCTCTGACTGTTTTCTGGGTGAAACTGAAAAAGCATTCTTTTCTTCCGTACATCCATTATCAGTTCTCTTGCTTACGAATATTCAGTTACATTCCATCTTCTGTGTTCGTAAAATGCTGTACTGGCGCTCTGCCGTAGCAGCGGATAATGTTGTAACAAGAACTGACTAGCGTTATGTGAGTACATTTGGTGAGAAGGGTAGCTCTGCTATAACTTGATGTCACGTGTTTATGATACAGGTCAGTTCATATCTCCTGAAAGGGTCCATGAAAACCTCTTCAAAAACAGTAACAAAATATTTCTGAAGCCTTCACAGCCGGCGGTCAGGCGGTACAATAAGATACGTTCGCTCGTTCAGAAGGCAAAGATGACAAAGCGACTGCTGCGAAAGGAGAAGCTTCTGCGGAAGAGGCTGGCTGAAAAGGGACTCGATTATGACTTCCCAGGATTTGTAAGTTTGGCATCATTTTGATGAGTGTTTTATGCAAAACATGTTTCTAAGGTTGTGCTAAATACAAGAAAATCATGTTTCGTGTGGAAGTGGCGAAAAAGTACCAGGGAGACTTACTTGCATTAGGAACTGTATAGAAGCTCCTGGAAATCAGTGTTGTGCTGTTGCTGGGTTGTACTATATGTACGTGCAGGTTTACCTTTAGAGGGGTAAATAAGTAACAGCAAAGCGAAGACGTTTATTTTCTTCTGTTAGTATAAATAGTTGGATATCTTGTGGTTTTCACATTTGTCTGTAGATCACAGAAGAGCGACGGGGCTTTTCCCAAGCCCTGTGGGGGGCTTTGGCAGGGTTGGTGTTGGAAGGCAGATCCCTAGACTAGAGCTTCCATCCCTAGACCTTACCTAAGCTAACCAAGTGTATTGCTCGTCTGCAGAGTGCATGGGTGAAGTACTTGAATTTTAAGCACAGTATTTTAACATGGGTTTTTTTTTTTTAAATGCACAGTAGCAGCTTTTTTTACATTGCTTTGGGTGGTTTTGCTAAAACCAGACCGCCTCTGTGGTGTTGTAAGTAATTTTATTAATTCAAACCTAATTCCTGTAGCAAAGATTTTGTAGTTACGAAGCAAAGAAACCTATAGACTGTTAAGTGACTGCATCTTCATATAAGGAGGTTTGTAGTGATCCACCTGATCTGTCTTGCTTCCTAGGCTGCACAGGAGCTTTCCATAAAGAGAAAAAAAGTTAAAACATCCAAGAAGTCAAAACTGAACATTTCTTTGAGCAGCCAGGTAAGACCGAACTGTCCTAGTGGTGCCCAGCACCACGCCCCACCATTCACACTGGGGCAGGTGTTTCAGGTCTGCAACCGGTTTCTTTGTATTTAATTTCAACACCTGGAAACCTGGATAGTATTTGGTTGAGAGATTTTTTTTTTGTGCCGAAAGTAGCTCCTTTGAGGTGGATTAACACTCTTGAACAGGGCAGGGTGGTTGGATCCTCTCACTTCTTTCTCTTGTGGGAGTATTTGGCAGCAAAGGTTTCTGCTCAGCATGTTGTAAGGAGCAGTGCTTGTCCCGAGGTGCGTCCAGGCAGCTCTGTGTCTGCTGTCAGCCTCTGCTATTCAGCACTAAATTGAGGCAGGAAAAACACAGAGTGCTGGGGGCAGTCACCTGTATACCACCTACATCTCTGCTTTAAACCGGTACAAAATGATCTCCTTGCTGGCATCCTTCTGTTAGTCTGCGCTACATTATAACACCAGCCTGTTTTGACAAAAAGGAAGTTGAACTGTTAATACAGTCTAGTGTTGTCTGTCCCCATTTACACACAATACTGTCCCTCCTCCTTGTGCTGTCCAGGCACGGTATTGTAGTGTTTGGAAAACTAATGCCAGTTCAAACTACCAGTAGGATGAAAGGAAAGTTCAGGTCATCAGGACTGAGATTTGGGGTACTGACAGTCTGAAAAGTCTGTCAGGTATTAAAAACATTTCTGTTTTGTTTTATTTTATCGCTGTTACGAGGTTTTGGGTTTTTTTTTTAATGTTACTGGATTTATTTGTGATAGTTGGGACAGGGCTCGCTGCAAGGAAGACAGGATAACTCATACATTCAGTGAACTGAGTTCTGAGAACTTGCTTAGATAATGAAGCTGGGATGTTTCAGCTCTGCTGTGGGCTTGAATGTGACATTTCTGTATGCCAGTCTCAAATATACTTTTTTTTTTCCCCTCTGATTCTTTTTCTCTTGGCTTTCTTAGTGCTTTGAGTCAGGAAATATAAAGTTTAGAAAGCAAGGGTGCATAACGACATGTTAGAAAATGTGAATTAATTTACATTTGCGTTTTGCATAGACTTTTTTGAAGGTGACACTTTTTCTGAGAAACACTGTCCACAAAAATAGCTAGTTGTAAAAAGAAAACAATTTTCCCTAACGTGGAAGTTCTGAAGGAGGGCTGGACTGAGGTGCCTTGTGGTACCACAGAGGCAGTGACAACTTTCTCTGGCAGATGCTTTGCAATGAATCGTGTTTTTCTGATCTCTTCAGGACCCTACTCCAGTCTGCACTCCAACAGTGCTCGAGCGCCGGAAAGCTGCTCAGGCGGATGGTGACACAGAGGACAATGAAATAACTCTCAGACTGCCCCCTGCCAGTGTTAAGAATGCTATGCAGAGACCAAAGAAGCAGCAAAGAAAAAGACCAAACCTGAAGAAACAGGAATAGACTTAATGTTTTGATGGCTGTAGCCGTGTTTTTCCTCAACTCAAAAACTGTTGAGGTGGAGCTTCTAGTGGTTCTGCTGCCCTGGCTCAGTTCATCTTGACTAGACTGTTTCAGTCTTTCCTACACAAGGAATTTATTCACAAATCCTCCCCCTCCTGTTCAGCTGTCAGGGGGCCTACAGTCTTCTCTGCCTTTGAAGATTTTCTTGACTTTGTGCTCACAAGTGCCCGTGCTGTGACATGCCTACAGCCGTGCCAAAACCTTCGGTTAATTCTGTAACTTGTCTCTAGTGCTCACTGTTTAAAAAGAAAATGTGAGGCTGTCCATTCAGAACTTACTGATGCGGGCTGTGTCTTACATTTTATAATTAATGGTGGGTTATAAAAAAAAAATTAATCCTTTTTCAATTGTCTTGGCTGTTGGTAGTGGTTCTTCCGTTTAACTGAATGTCTGTGTGTGCGAGTTCTCACATATTTACACAAGTAGAGGGTGAGGGATCTTTTCCCCAAGGAAGACATACCTTGAATTTCATCTCCTGTTTGTGATCAGTCAACATCTACTGCACTGGCCAGGGCAGAGGCTGAATACCACGCTGCCTGAGCAAGGCAGTGCCTTTCAACACTACTTGCAGCAGTGCCTGGGGAATTCGGCTTTGCCAGGATGTGGAGTGATTGCAGAGGAGTTGGAAAGGCCTGGGGTCAGCAAGGTGGTGAGGAGAGACCGAAGTCACTTCGGAGATGGCCGAAGTCACTCGCATTCAAGATTCCCGTTCCTTTCCCCATGCAGGCAAAAGATTTGTGTTAGAGAGTGTATCCTGCTGGGGAGGATGTAGGGTGACTGTTCTGTCGGCTTGACCGGAGTCACAGCTGCACTTTCATTCCTCACAGACTTGTGTAAAAGGTGTTTCATGCTGCAGAGGTCCTGGGCGTGCATGTACTGAGGTACTGCTTTGCCTCTGGCCTGACCAGGCAAAGGTAACTTGCTAATTAATTCTCTGGGGTTTTGTGTGCCATAAATGTGCTGTTGTCTGGTTCAGAAGACATTCAAGGACCTGCAAAGTGTGGTTGGCTTTCGAGTGACTTCTTGCTGAACTGTGGAGAGGAGCAAATGGTGACAGCTAGCTTGTGTACGGCTGTTCTCAGACTGAGCAAGGCTCTGAGAAGATTCATCAGTAATCGGAGCAGTCTGGGTTGTATTAGTTCTGTTGTCCTTTGGGCTCTGCAGCATCTTGTCCCTCTATTTTTGTTTCACTGCCTGTGTGAAACAAGGGTATCTTCTGCTTCAGGGGGTGATAAGCACATCACAATATTGTAATAAATGCCTGGGTGGGTTTGTCACCAGTAGCATGAGTTCAGAGAATTGAGTGTAGCTTTTTGTTGTGCATCAAGATTTATTCTTGTTCCAATGTAACCTGTCATAGCTGGACTGCAGTTATCCAGTCCTGTTTGAAATGCAGTTTGTGCAATTAGAATTTGGATTTTTATTGCAAATCTGAGACCTGCAGAAATTCCAGTTTGGGTTTTGTGGCACGTACTTAGCCTTGATCTTTTATCATCTGAGATGAAACACTACTACGCACTGTTGGCTGTAGGTCAGACTTGGCAGAAGATTTCAGAGGAAAGCCCAGGTGATAATAACTGGCTGCTCAGGTAGGTGGCTGGCGCTAATTCCTTAGCTATTTTAAGACTCAAACTCCTGGCAGAGGAGAAGAAATCTGAACCATTGCCCTGGCTAATTCTGTCCTATCTGGCCTGATGACTTGAATAATCATGTGATCGTAATGACATTCTCTTGGTGACTCAAATTAGATCGTTCTCCCTTGCAGCTCTGAACTGTTAGGGAAGCCACTTGGGTGAGTGCATCTTTGTATCAAACGCTGGTCATCTTAGGCATGCTAGGGAAATCTGTTGACCAGTCTGATGGTCACTGACAATCCTTGTCTTTTAGTAGCAGTGTTGCTGTGTACATCTGCAGGCTTTCTTCTCTGTGCGTTGTTTGACGTGAAACAGGCAGTGTTTACACCTCAGACCTGTGGAAAATACACCCTTAGCTAAGGTTTGAGGTAAACGTGATCGGAGTGGTTGGCAGAAATTGCTTATCTGCATGATAGCATGCAGCTCTGAAAAAACTTCTCTACCTCGACTTCATACAACAGAGACCAGCAGAAGAGAAGCAAAGTGTATCTGCCCAGAATGGACACTTTTCTTTTAAAATTCATATTCATAACTTTGTGTTGTGCAAATAAAGATGGCTGTTGGGTCATGATGAACTAGAAATGCGGCTGCGTTTTCTGTCTGGAGGTGAATCTTTTGGGTGCAGTCTGACACCGGGGGGCAGCACGCTTCAGTTGTGTGGACGGAGGCTGCTCTCTGACAAATACAGCACAAGGTTTCCTGGGCAATGACCTCCCGGGTTCATAATGAAACCTGTCTAGTCCAGGCGGTTGGGACTGGCTGCATTGGTGTGACTAACGCATCTCGAACATGATTTAAGAGTACAGGAGAAACTTGGTATGGATATTAATCAAATATGCCCGTTTCTTTGGTGCTGCCACAAATACTCCTTACAAGGCTGTGGAGTTAAAGCTGCTCTTAAGAAAACTTAGCTTATCCAGAGTAACCTATCCAGTGCAGTTCCACGCTCACTGAAGCCTGAGCACCTCCCTTCCTGTGCTTCCCATTCCAGCCCCTGGGCCTGCATTTTGAACCTGGTGCTGCTTTCTTCCTATTCAGCTTCTGTTACCGTATTCCTCTCTGTGCCTGGTGTTCTGCCCCTGCCTGGAAGCCCATGTCAGCTTGCTGCTTTCTTCCATGTTTGACTCTGTGGCTTCTTTTTGTGCTGCTTGCCGTGCCTGGGCTATCCTCTAGCTGTCTGAGCTTCCAGGGACTTGCGCATCTGCAGATCTCTTGAAAAGCTTTGTGCCTTTAAGCTAGCTCCCTCGTTGCTGCTCACCCTCCATATTCACATGGCAGTGTGAGCCTTGATGGGAAGACGGTCAAGAAAGCTGTGCTTACAATAAGGTTTGTTTCCTGCTGTAATTTTCATTTCCCTTCCTTTTGTTTATTGGCCTTCCTTCAATTGAGATCAGCTTAGATGGCAAATCTGAAAAGCAAGGAAACAAAGTTCTGTGCTGTTTGAGTAAAGTACAACAATACCCAGGCTACAGCAAGAAACTCTGAGCAGAAGGGTAGCTTTTCTTGGTGATAGTTTCTGTTTTTAGGCTGCCTGTGTTATTAATATACCGCTGTCCCAGGAGATGTACATAAGCAGAAATTCAGACACCTGATACTTGCCAAACATAGTTTCCGTAGCAAGTGGACAGGCGTGCTGTGTCATGAGCTATGCCTCAGTCCTTGCATGGATTTTTATTTCTCAGCTTGCTCTCCAGTCGTTTGTTCATTCGTCTTGGAGAAATGCAAATCTCCTGGCCACTGATTTTAGGGCAGGCTGTGGGTTGTTTTACTGGGATGCTTGCTGGGAGCGTTGGGGCTTTGGTTTCAAGGCATAACTTGCAAGCTCTCTGTCTTTTTGTAATGAATAACTTTGTGGAGCTGGTTTACTGAACAGCTACGTATGCAGCACTGTTTTCAAGCCTCATAAACACTTAGGTGCTAGCAAAGTCTACTAATTTACACTCATTTATTCTGATTTCTCTGTTTTGCAGGAAGGGGAGCTGGGCTTAGGAGTGCACAGCATTTCCCAGTACGTAAAGCACTGGAAGTAAAAGAGGAAGGGTGGGTGTGTATGTGTGTAGAAAAGCAGAACTGGCTGCAAAATAGAGGGGAGAAACGAATGATGAAGCCAGTGCTCACCTCTAGAGATAAAGGCATTGGTGAATTTGGCAGTGTTAGACCGCTCAAAATTAAAGATGCAGTTTGATGCTTTTCTTACTTGTTTTGCCTGTTAGATGTGCTGTGGGATGCCCAGGCTGCACAGTGTGTCAGGAGTGTGCTGCAAACCATGGTCCAAGTGCTAGTGCTTGCTTGTGAGCCCTGAGTGGAGGAGGAGAGCAGGCTGGGCAAGTGACACTTGCTCTTGCCAGTAACAAGCCTATTTGCTTGCATACCTGGCTTTTAAAATGGCTGCAGCCCTGAGGAACTAAAACCTGTCTGCAAAGAGCTCATGGTGCGAGGGAGGATTTGTGCGTGGCTCTGAGGAGCGACATCCTCTCCTCTCCAAGTAAAGCACCAGCGAGGTAGAGGGTAGCTCTGGTAAATTCCTCCTCTCCCAACTTTCCCTTCAGAGTGCTGGGGTGTTTGGTTCTCACTTTGCCTGTGTGATCCAGCCGGCCAGGGCAGGGCTGTGTTGTGTGAGGTGTTGGGGCAGGCTGCTGCAGGTGAAAACCAGGCAAGTGGGTAACAGGAGTACAGTGAATGTGATCACAAGAACACCCTTGAGTCCTCCTCTTAGACCAGACTCCTTCATTGTCCAAGGTGCTGTTTAAACGCATCCTGTTTTCTAGAGTTTGCAATCTAACCCACAAAGTCTAGAAACGTCCAACTCCAGGCAGCAATAATCTGCACCTTCTTGGCCAGAGATATGTGGGGAACCACCCCAGGGTGTTGCTGGAATGGAGGTGGTGGGGAGGGCTGCTCTGTGCATAGGGCTGCTGCCTGGCGCCGCTAACCCAGGCACATCCCTCCCTGCGCAAGGCCAGCAGCTGTCAGAGCAAGCCGAGGAAATCGTTAACTGCACGAGTGAGAATTGCTAAAGTGGAACATTTTCTCCCATGCGGGGTGCAGCAAGGCCTCTCATCACTTCTTTCACCCGGCATTAATTAAGCATATGGCAGGGACAGAGATGTTGGCTGTCCTGGGAGACTTGGACTAGTTGCACACCTGAGTGTCCGGGGCCGGTAACTATGTGGATCTCCTGTGCTGGGAAAGGATCAGCTACAGAGAAGCTACTACACAAGTCTTTGCTCCAGTCAGAGGAAAAAAGTGCTGGTTTATAATTTTCTTGAAATGTGTTGAAGAGAACAGGCAGGATTGTGAGGACAAATGCTGCGGGACTTTGAGAGAGCAAGATGGGTGTCCGCAGTGAGCTGCGGGCACTGGGGTCACCTCCTTTCTGTGGCTGCACATTTGACCCTGCACTTGACCCATCAAGTCTGGAGTCTGGGGCCTGGCCTGGATTTGAAACTTGTTTTAAAGA